ATTTGTAGATAAAATATACTTGTTTATATACAGCTTAAAACCTATATAACATATTTCATTCAATACTCATACCACATAGCAAATAGTATATAATCACATAGCACGTATTTCATAGAGTATAATTCATATATGTGTATTATAGAAAGCAACTACACACTTACTCATATCATATATCTAATACGTTCATCAATACTTGTATTAAAATGGTGTATATGAAAGGGACTATGCACTCACTTGATAAGAAGATTATCGGACAGCACTACGGCTCTTCGAGTAGTATTCTTCAGTGAAACCGGGATATCTTCACACACCGGGCTTCTCGCGGGCAGAGCTTCGGCTCGGAAACTCTTTTCTTCTTGGGATCTTCGGAGCTTCGGGACTCGCTTCGGGTCTCGGGATGATACCGGGGCTTCGGGGGTACTTCAAAACAGCTAGAGAGGGTATCGGGAGTGAGAAAGTGAAGGAATTAGCAACAAAAACCGACTGCCCTTCGATTCTATTTATAGGGCTGATTTTTCGATTTTCACGTCGTGAAACACTTATTCACGTCGTGGCCTTGGACGTCATCAGGTGCGTAGTCGCGATGTTCAGTCTGTCAGGCTCCAAAAGACGTCAGCTCTGAGTTCACGTCGTGAACCCTATTTTCACGTCGTGAACCCTGACACAGCTTTGGGGTTCGCGCCCCGAACTTCAGAAATTCATAATTTTCGCATACGAGCTCCGTTTTCGACGTTCTTTATATCCACGCGAATGTGAGATTATGCTCTACTATCGACGTCTTAGCTACCACGTCGTGGCACACCCAAAAATCCTCAAAATTAATATTTAATAAATTAAACTTGGAAAAAGCATTACATGGAAAAATGGATGTTAAAGCATAAGAGATATTTGGACGAGTGAAAGTAAGATATTGCATGGCTCCAAAAATACTCTTGAACAAAGTGGGGTTAACCATATGCTTACCGTCGGAGGAAAGTATGGGCTTAATGCTCGTAGGTATGTTGCACGGATTGAAGTCAGCCATATCAGCCTTATTGATGATTTCATGGGCAAAAGCGACTTGTGACATGAATAGTCCACTGGTAGTCCATATGGAAACAATACCGAAAAATAAAGATAAAGACCTTAAGTTAGTCATGGGAAACTCGAAAGAAAGACAATTAATAATTGTGGTGATTAAGGAAGAAGAGGAATCAGTGAGCATTATATCATTGTCATAAAGCAACAAATAAATGGTGTCATGTCCACAATGAAAGGTGAACAGAAAACTATAAGAATGGCTGCTGCAAAAGTTGATATAGGTGATATAGGTGATATAGGCATTAAATCATCGATACCAAGCCTGCATTAAATCATCGATACCAAGCCTTGAGTTTTTGACCAGTTAGTTGAAAAAAATATTTATTATTTTAGTGTTCTTTCAAAACTATTTACAATTTTAGTGTTTTTTTTATTTTTCTTTATTTTTTAGTTTCCTTTTCAGTTTTTTTTTTAATTTAAATATTTTATTTTTCTTTTTTTCTTTTTTATTCCGTTTTTCTCATTCATCTTTACTTTTTAGTTTTTTTTCAGTTTTTTTAATTTAAATATGTTATTTTTCTTTTTTCTTTTTTTCTTTTTTATTCCACCTTTTTATTGTTTTTATATATATATTTTTAAATGACAGCTTTCATTTTAGTTTTTTTTTAACCTTTTTTTACTGTTTTTTTTAATAAATGTTTTTTTATCTATTTTTTTCTGTTTTATATAAATATCCGTTTTTCTTATACAACATTTTTACCATCAAATTTTAGCCTCAACATTAAAAAATATCAAAAACCACCACTATAATCAAATTTTAAGGTGCAAAAATTCCAACATTCACATACAATGTTTTTAAAGTGAAAAAAAAAGACATTTCAACATTGTAAATCGGAGTCAAAATCGATAATTTTGCATACCTTGCAGATCTCCGGCGACGAGGGAGGAGGCGCAGGCAGCCGGCGACGATGGAGGAGGTGCAGGCAGCCGACGATGGTGGACGATGCGACGACAGAACTGGAGGTGGAGCCCTAGCTGCGTTTACGATTTTTTTTTTTTTCTAATTGTTCTCGCTCCAACGTTCCAGGGACAAAGGGACAAAAACGTGTGTTTTTTTTTTAAACAATAATATTAGTATTAAATATAAGGTAATACTATTTTGGCAAATATTTTTGAAACAACACTAATATGGTAAATATTTTTTCCATTAACACTATTATGGTTAAAAACTCACCAAGCCTTAGGGGTTTGTTTGAGACAATAGAGAGCTTTTTGAGACGACATACATGATCAAGATATTTGGGGTGAACATAAAATGGAGATTTTTACATGTAGACTTCCTCAATGAGGTCACCATGCAAGAAACCTTTTCTGCCAGCAAGTTGATGGATATGCTAATTTTTTGAGACAACAATGTTGAGGACGGTGCAGATGGTTGCCATTTTGGCTTTCGGGCTGAAAGTATCATTGAAGTCAAGACCAGGTTATTATGAAAAGTCTTAATCAATGAGGCGACATTTATACCAATCAAAGTTATCTTTGTAATCAAATTTGTGACGATAAAAGCCAACGATATCCAACATATTAGCAAAAGGGGGACGATGGACTAAATCCCATGTACGGTTGGCAGATAAAGTAAACATATCATTATCCACAGCTTGCTTTAGTGAGGATCATATAGAGCCTAAGTAGTGAACCTAGGAATTATATATATATATATATATATATATATAATAGATATATATATATATATATATATATATATAGATATATATATTTGATGTTGTAGAGAGATTTAGAAATTGAAGGGGTTTAAGTTACCAATTCGTGATCGGGTGGTCATAGAGTGACCTTCTGCGTAGACCGTAAAGATAGCAATCTTGGGAATGGAAGCTTCCTCGATGATGTCTTGTAAGGGGATGAGGGGCTCGGTTTGGACCAAGGAAGGGGGAAGGATCACCTACATAGGTAGATGTGGAAGATGAACTCATGGGAGATGAATTACATAAGCGGAGAATGATGGCGGGTGTTGTTGATTCATCAACAAATAAATCATAAAAAGATAGATCATGAGACGTGTGAAATTGAGGAAAGGGGAAGTGTTTCTCGTAAAAAACGACATTTCTTAATATAATAACCTTTTGTGTGCTAAGGTCAAGACAATGAGAGACATGACGATATTGAGAGGGGACAAGATAGACACATACAGAAGATTGTGGCTTAAGTTTGTGAGGAGCGGTTGCAACAGTGTTGGAAAAAAGATTCGAAGATGATGGTAGGTAGGAAAAATACCAAAGAGGATCTCAAATTGGGTTTTAAAGGATAGGGTGGTTGTGGGAAGAAGATTCAAGGTGTGAACTGTTGTAAGAAGAGCTTCCACCCAAAACTTTAGAGGAAGAGAGGCTTGAAATAAGAAGGTTCTTATGATATTATTTATTGTGTGTATGGTACCTTCAACTTTCCCATTTTGTTATGACGTGTACGGACAAGAAAAACGAACTTTTATATCTTGTTGTTGAAAAGAAAGTGAGTGAAGGTTGATTGTTGAACTCGTGGCCATTGTCATATTGGAAAAGTTAAATATCTACTTTAAATTGGTTTAAAACATAGGCATGAAAATTATGAAAAACATGAAACACATCATATTTGGCACGTAATGAAAAAACCCGTAAAAATGTGAATAATCATCTAAAAAAGAACATAATATTTTTGACCACTTAGACTAGTAACATGGGAAGTCCATGTCTGAATAGACTAATTCAAAAACATGAGATGTTTTAGTAGTTGACGAAGAAAAGGATAAACGATGGTGTTTTCCAACTTGAAAAGCATGACAAGTTGGAAATTTATTGTAGAACTAATAAAAAACGACGTGAATGTAAAAAATGAAGGACGGAGGAGCCGGGATAACCAAGTTATCAATGCCAAGTACGGAGAGACACAGCAGCCAGGGCAGTGACATGGAAAGAAACAACATTAGATGGAAAGTAAATGGGAGAACTGGATGTAGGTCACCAAGAATGTCACAACGTTGCAAAATTGTACATGTTTCAAGATCCTTAACAGGAAAATATAGAATGATCAAATTCAACGAAAACGGAATTATCAAGTAGTAAACCTACGAACCGACACTAAAATTTTGACCATTTTATTGAAAACGAGGACATTTCTAAGAAGAAATAGGTTGTTTGAGTGGGGGAAAAAGTATGGCCAACAAAGCTAACCGATAGTAAAGCATCATTTCCAATCACAATGGATTTGACGTTATTACATTTTGTTAATGAAAGCATGTTACCTTGATTGAAAGTCATGTGAGAACTTACATCTGAATCCATGTAGTAGTTATTGTGATGCAAAGGGATGTTGGCCCGACTGCTAAAGTGGCATATTTAGGCTGATGGTGGGGCTTGGTTGAAGCGGAAAAGCATCCACAGTTGTTCCATATAATGGTTGCCAAAGTTATTTGTTGCATGAGTAGCATGCTTGGTTGTTTCCAAGGATTCCCTCTTTAACACCCCCGGAAGCACTTTTGCTATTGTTTCGATTTTTATTTCATTTATTTTTCGATATCCTAAGGTTATTGGAAGATGAAAAAAGAGTGGAATTAGAAGACAAAAGCGGATCGACAGGAGTCTATATGAGTTCTTCACGAGATTCATGAAGTTTAGCATGTTTTTGGCTTCAAGAAATGACGAGAAAGGCTTTGTATTTGTGATGACATCAACAATAATACTATGATATAAAGTAGGTATTTGACGTAAAATTTGCATAACTAATTTGATTTCAATAATTGGAGAATCAACATCAGATAATGTATCAACAAGGCTTTTAAGTGGGTGAAAAAAATTCAGTGATTGACAAGGAACCTTGTTTGGTGTTACGAAACTGGTCTTGTAATTCAAACATACATTGATTCAAGTCAACTAAACATGAGAATAAAAGGTGTTACAACTAAAAAAGTCAAGACCATAGTTGAAGGGTCAAAGCAGGAACATAAAGATTAATATTTTCAATGAACAGTGGATAAAGTTGTTACTCCAGCCAATTTGAATCAAAAATGGACCAAAAGGGCTGCCAAAGAAAAAAAAAGGAAAATGGTACAGAATGAGGGTCTTGTGCAAGAACAAGAACCTGTGTTGTTTAGAAAGAAACCTCATATCATTTATTTATGTCCATAACAATCACAAACATAATCATTCATGTTCTACCAAACAATAACAATATATATGGCAACTCCAATAACTAAAAATCCAAGTATAAAAAGTCTAAATAGAGTAGTTAGAGATTAACTTGTCAACATGAATGATGATGTCATCTATCAATGGTCGAACCGTGGGTTGAGGCTGTAGCATCCATGATACAAACTGATGAAGAGCATCTGGATATGGTGGTTTTGGAACTCCTCCTCCTCCTGTTGCACTTGGCCACTTTATCTGTCCATTCATAATAGCCAATTGCAAGCTCCCTCCTGATTCCCCTAACGCATACTCAAATGGAGACACGCCATACCTGTTAAAACTAAATACCCATCATTCATTTATCTTTATACAGAAACACACACAACACTTCAAGAAACAAATATGGAGGGACTTACATTATGGCAAACAAAGTGCAACCCAGTGACCATATATCAGTTCGTTCATCGATGTCTATTTGACTTGGGCAATCCCATAGCTCTGGAGCTCGGAAGGGTGCTGAAACATGCTCTGATGCCCATTCCTAAACATTATTCAAACAACCTATAATTATCTGCCATTGGCATTGGATGGATGGAGGTAAGACTGTCTACATCTATCTACCTGCAACTGCAGTGCCTCTGATCGAGAGCGGATTTGCCTTTTAGCAGGACGCGCACTTCCAAAATCCATCAATACGGCGAGAGGTGGCTGACCTTTACGATGTGTTAAAAGGACATTTCCCGGTTTTACATCGTTATGTGCGTATGGAGGGTCAAGAGAATGCAAATGCTTCAGTCCTGCACACAACTGCAAAACCCAAATCCTACAATTAGACCCCTTAGAAGACCGTGACAACACAGAACAGGTTGTACTGCATTTGTCATGCAATGGACAAAAATTACGGTTTATATTTACATGAAACAGAGAGTGAGGATTCTAGATGCATAATGGTTGCTGGTTACCTGTCGGAAAATATGAAGAACATCAGATGTAGAAAAAAACTGTTTTTTAGATTTCATTGTTGTTGAATTGTCCAACAAAGTCCCATCCAGATGAACTGGAAACAACAGGTATGCTTCATGTGTCCAAGGTTGTTCCGGTGTGGCCTGCCCAACAAAACAGAATCATGTTAACAGATTACAGAATACAAATTATTTGCTCAATCACACTCAACAAATTTTCATAGAGTGAATGAAAAAAGTCGATGATTTTAGATGATCACAGATCTGATTGTATATAGAAATAAGCTACCTTTACTGGAATAATGGCATGATCCAACAATGGCAGCAGATTCGGGTGGCTAAACAAGGCGGATACACGGATCTCTTCCTTCACCAACTCCAGCTGATCATTATTCTGAATCAAAACTTTCTTCATCGCATACGTTCCATCCTCTGGAGATCAAATTAATTCGTAACTATAACGAAATCAACGAATGCAATGCGGATACTTTGAAACCTAGAAATGGAATCTCAGATTGTGGGATTTGTATTTACCGGCGATGTGAGAGGGGTCTTTGAACTTCTTAGAGACGCCACCGCCGGAAGCGGCGGTGAAGGCCTCCCTAACAAGGAAGACGTAGGCAAAACCACCCTCGCCGAGCTGGCGGACGATCTTGAAGCGGTTGTCGTTGATCCAAACATCAGCGCCTCCGTTAACGGCGTCGTATAGGGCGTTTAATCCTGAAAAAGAACACCCCATTTCCTAGCTCAGCTATTGGTAAATGGCGATGCTCTCCCGTAAAGAGCAAAACCCTCTCCCTCTGTCTATACTCTCCGAAAAGATTGTCGGAAGGAATGAATCTTCGATATTAAGGAGTTCGTGGGTTTCTGTGTGTTGACATAAGAACAGATCATGGGATATCTGGAGCTGATTGTAAATCGAGTAGAATTCACACAATCATGGCGATTGATCAATTCTTGTTGAATGGGAAGGGTTAACTAGGTGAAAAACTAAAAAAAAATGATGTGAAAAACTAATAAAAATGATTAGGGTGTTTTTTTAGATAATCACAAAAATACGACAAGCTATTTCACCTAATAAAAATAAATAAATAATTGGATTAGGGCCTTTTTTTAGATAATCTTTTTCACGTTATTTAAGTTTAAAGGGTGTTTTGGAATATTTTTTTTTTTTCAAAATAGGTTATTGATTTATTAGATTTTTAAAAAGTCCAATTATAGCTCGACACCCTCTTCGATGGTTATTTTATAACATTTTATACTAACATTGTATTTTGAAAATGTTATCCAATTATGCACATTCAAAGTACAAACATATGAAAGTAAGTTGTTAAAAGTAGGCAATGTTTGGTATGGTGCAATATAGGAAAGAACGGAATGGTTCATTCGATTAGAATTAAAAAAAAATGTTTCATTTGTAAAGAAATCATTTCTTTACTTATTTATTTTTTTTATTCTTTTGTGGGTGTGTATTAAACATGTTTATTTGTTTTATTTTGGGAAATCTCCAGAAAAATCCTAAAATTTTACCCTAATATACGGAAAAGTCTCAAACTAAATTTTGTTTACGAAAAAACATGAATTACCGGTAAAAATGACGATTTGACCCTTTTTTCCGGTTTACTGGTTTTATTACTTACATGTTTCACTAAAGTCTCATTATTTTACCCTAATTTGCGAATAAGTCCCAAAATAAAATTTACTGATGATTTGGTCATTTTCTCTATGTAACATACATTTTACCTGTTTCATTGTTGACTCGGACGCCTAGTCATTAAATGGATGATGAGATGGATATGTTGAGTTATATAATGTTATGTTTAGCATAAAACTTGATATCCTGATGTATTGTGTATTTTTTTGGAACATAAAATGCATCCAACGAAGACTACAATAATTACATAAACTAACAACAACTGCGTTATTTTTTACGTTTATAGGAAATATCAAATTGTTTATCTAATCTTATGTAACCCAATATATTCATCTCATCAAACATCAACTCATTTTCTGCCCTTTTTTCTTTGAAACACACATTTTATTGGTTTCATTACTAACGTAGATACATAGTCATAAATGAGCTGATGAAATGGATATCAAATTTTACAATAAATGTAGCATTATATAATCCATCGTATCCATCTTATCAACTAATTTAATGACTAGGTGGCTAAGTCATCAATGAAACCGATAAAATGTATTTTACATGAAGAAAAGGGTCAAATCATCAGTAAATTTTATTTTCGGACTTATTCGCAAATTAGGGTAAAATAATGGGACTTTAGTGAAACAGGTAAGTAATAAAACCGGTAAACCGGAAAAAAAAAAAGGGTCAAATCGCGATTTTTACTGGTAATTAATGTTTTTTCGTAAACAAAATTTAGTTTGAGACTTTTTCGTAAATTAGGATAAAATTTTAGGACTTTTCTGGAGATTTCCCTTTTATTTTTACACAAACCCAACATCATTTGCCCCTTTCATTGAAGAAGCCATGACAACCATTGAAGAAGGTGGTGACCCATATCATATTTTCATTGTCATTGCTGATAAGAGGTAGGCCCGTAGGATTCTGTTTCTTTTTTACTGGCATTGCACATTCATTTTTCTTGGAAAATCTACCAAAATATATTATTTATGTATAAATTTAGAGTTGGTTACTAAGTTGGATTAGTGTAAAAGCCATCGTTTTAGTTGTTATTGTCTTGATGGTCTATTTGTGATGTTTATGTTGAATTTTAGTTTTATGAAATCATTCTGCTGTGATCATGGTATATGTTTACTACTTTAGTTGTTTAGTTGAAAAAAAAAATCCAGAATCTCATGCTACACAAATTAGACCACATTAAATTGAGGATCAAAGCATACACAAAAAGTTCATGCTAATGTCATCTTTAGCGGTTTAGTTACTTAAATCCAAAACGAAAGATTATCATCATAACATCTTTAAGATCAAAAACTATAGTGTAACATCCAAAAATTTTACGCCAAATTTAAACTTTTCAAGCATAAATAAAACCCCATAGTATTGTTTACAAAAAAAATTTCAATTCATTATTCAATCAGAGTGTCCCAAAAGCCAGATCATAAGGATGAGGAGCGGTACGGTCACGCCTTCGCCTTGCCATGAACTCCTGAAGTACCTGAAACAATAAACTGAAAACTGTAAGCCCGAGGGCTTAGTGAGCTACCCCCCCCCCCCCCAAAAAAAATACCAATACCACACTGATAATACCATATCCGTAATAATCAATCAATCAACATGCATACTGGGCCATCGGCCTGACTGGACCGCCCTACAGGGCCTACAGTCCAACTGAATCTATACCGAACCTTCGGCATGACTGGACCGCCACGTGGGCCTACAGTCTTCCCGGACCGCTCATAGGGTGTGTTAGCCTTCAGCACAAAGCAGGACCGCCTCAACCCAAGCAACAAGCAAGTAACCATGTGCGCATAACTAACATATACTGGCATATACAACCATCAAACATATCTATCTCACTGAGCATCAAACATAGAAATCTCTTATAACTAGAGCACTGACCTAGCATGTCACTAACACATCAATCCCTACGGATCATAAGAGCATAACATACTGTCTATCCTGATTCTGATCTAACAGATCACATCCACATGTAGCATACCATAACGATAACAACTAAAAGGGCCGACCTTGGTGCCTTAGACCCTATAGTGAGGATAACTCACCTTGCAGATGTCGACTCGGTAGATAAACTTCAACCCTCGGATCACTGCCACAAACTCCACCACCTATAACCATAGTATAATCATACCCATAAGCCAACTAATCAATCTTGGTCAAAGTCAAAAGTCATCAGTCAAGGTCAACAGTCCATGTTGACCTCGACTCGCCGAGTACCCCCGACTACTCGCCGAGTTCCTTGAAGTACTAACCCACTCGCCGAGTCACCCGAGTGACTCGTCGAGTTCCTTTGGTTTACGATCGAGACCCTAAGGCCACTCGTCGAGCTTCCTTCTTGCAACTCGACAGTTACCCGCGCATACATAAGTTGGGGCAACCTCATCCGACTCGTCGAGTTGTTCATACACTCGTCGAGTCTACGACAATCTTCATTGGACTCGCCGAGTTGTTCTTCCAACTCGCCGAGTTCATGCCTATCTCTTCATATGACTCGCCGAGTCGACCATGCGACTCGCCGAGTCCCTTCAGTCCTTTATGCCACACAGACTCATTTGAGCCATGCAGCGGCTCCAAACACAGACTTAAGAAGGGTCCAGATCTGAAGTTACAACTTCAGATCTAGCCCATAGTCCACCTTATCAACTCAAAGATCCATAAAAGCCCCAAACTCAACCAAAAAGAGATCTAGAAGGGAAAAGAAGTAAAGGTGGCGACTTGATACCTATGAAAGATGCTAACTGAGGTAGATTCTGATTCCCACACTTTCCTTGCTCCAATTCCCTTGCCTTCCAAGTTCCTCTTCTCCAAAGATCTTCCTCCCAAGCTTAATACACACACAATAGAGCACCACACGAATTAGGGTTTCTCAAGAGCTTTCTAGAACTGCAAAGAGGCCAAAGGAGGCTTATGCTTCCTTAAATAGGGTGCAAAACCTCGGGATTTAGGGTTTCCTCTGCCAGCTCCTACTCGTCGAGTTCCTTCGTGGACTCGGCGAGTAGGTCACTAAACACGCGTACCAAACCCGTTGCTACTCGACGAGTAGGGCAACCAACTCGTCGAGTAGGCCTTGAAACCAATTAAATTCTTATTTAAACAATACCTGAGAATCGGGACGTTACATATAGAGAATTGGTTGTTAACTTGAAAGTGTCTCTTGGTTACTCTCAACAAGTGGCAAAAATAAAATTGATCCCTACATGAAACTGCAACAAAGAAACCGGTCTATCAGTACATACAAATATGACACAATCGTTTATTGGAACGAAATGTCCAACCTAGTTTGAACCGGTCCATGGATCCAATTATTAGAGGGGAGAAAAAGTCAAAATAGAGAATAGCAATATATTTACTATAGCTACCAATACATGCAATGTACTTTTCTTTTGACCCATAATAGCATTGTATTTACATCTCTTTATCAAAAGGTGAAACACATCAGTAGACACACAAAAAAAATACCTTCCGCTGCGCGCAATGCACGTAAAAACCCTTGAGTTAAAATAAATATTGGTAAAACATGTACATGCAACACATTTTAATGGTATTTTTTGTAAAAAAAAAAAAATAATAAAAAAGATTAATGGTTTTTTTTTTCATACCAAATGCTTAAATAGTTACCCTTACAATTTATTTTCCCAAAAATTAGTATAGATATTTTCAAAGGATACGAGACTCAAATCTCAGTCCTAGTAAAGGTCGTGGTCGATATTGTAAATTTGTAATCGAAGAACGTATGAGCGAGTTTTAGGAATAAATTTGACGACGTGGTGGATTTGCAATCCATGCTTCCTCCGTCGGCTCCCCACTGTCTTCTATCTATTCTCTCGGCCTCTGTTTCCGTCTCTGAGAACGCCACCTGATGTCTAGGCTTCTCACCACCACCGTCCACATTTCCGCTGTTATCCTCACCAAATCCCGGCCGCCGCGTTACCTTTCCCCTTCTCAGTTCTCCCTTCCACATGTCACTTCAACTCGCTATTATCTGAAACCTCATAGGAGCATCTCCATTCGAGCTATTAATTCCTCATCTGACACCAAAAGTGAAGATGTTTCCTCAGAGAATCAGGAAGATAAAATCGAGATCAAGTCTGAGTTGAATAATAATGGCAGTTTAAGAGGCGATGATGCGTATCCTACTGGAGAATTTGAGTTTGAAAGTCCAGGTACGTGGAAGAGCTTTGTGGTGAAGCTACGCATGCTAATTGCTTATCCATGGCAACGTGTTCGCAAGGGCAGTGTTTTGAATTTGAAATTGCGTGGCCAGGTCCGTTGTTTTCATCTACTTTTTCACATATCAAATCCTGGTTGTGCATCTATATTTTAGTTATTCGATTGATGATTCTTAAATCGAAGGCCGCT